ACACACACACACACACACACACACACACACACACACACATAGCCCATATACGTGCGCTTTATATAATATGATACGTATTTTTGTGTGTGCATGTATGTGTGTATGTGTGTGGGGGGAGGTGTGTGTGTGTGTGTGTGTGTGTGTGTGTGTGTGTGTGTGTGTGTGTGTGTGTGTGTGTATGCCATGACCGTGGAATCAGGCTCTCTTCAATTTTTGGCCATATGGAGTTATTAGTTTCATCTTACATCTTGGTCATTTGTTTTGCAACTGATGAAACAATATGAATCTATCTTGTATGGAAGTCAAGATGTTTGCAATTGAAGGAAGTGGGGGTTGCCTGGTGTCAGAGGTAATATTAGCATGTAAGAAAATGGCTGCCAAAGTTTAGTGACTTCAGAAGTTTGAGTGTCCTTTGAAACTGCAAACTTACATTTTTATGGCCATAGATCAACATTATTCAGGTAAAATCCACATTAAAATGTATTCTTAAATAGACACAGAAAGTATTAAGCTGAAAAAATAAAAAAAAATTTTTTTGTTAATGCTGGTTTCCTTAACTACATTATTTTGACGAGCACGTAATTTCACTTCGCAGGATCAAATATATTTGTAAGGGGAATGGAATGGCAAAACAGTCTGTTCACCTTTTCTTAAATTCCTTAATTATCTTTCATTAATTGTCTGACATTTTTTCAATAACAGCGTAATAAGCTCCTCCATTACTGAACTGCTAAGCAAAGAAATTTGCATCAGAGTGTGCATCCATATATTTACATTTATATTTTATCAAGGCCCTTACTCTCTTCACAACTATTTTAAAAAAGGGATGATTAGTTTCTACAACCATAGAATAAAGGAAAGTATACTTACAAGTTGCAGACAAAGCGCTTGCTACCTCTTCTGGTGATCGGTCATCATCTGCAAACAAAAGAAAATCAAGTAAAGTTGAGCAAGGTATCCGACAATACTCATTAAGAAAGGATTTGGCCATGCCTTAAATCCTGGCCACTACGCATTCTCCCACTATTAATTCCTTCTAAAAAAATTCCCCACTGATCCCACCTCAGAAATTCAAAGATAAAGACTTCTATTTGCAATGAGGTAATGATGGTGGCACTTGAACAACTCATAAAGGTTTTACACATAATTCCATAAACAAGATGCTTCAAATTAATGAATTATAATATATTTTTGTATTTTTTTAAGCGTTCAAGATCTAAGGTCGTATCCATCCTGAATATCAACACAGCAAAATATTTGCCCATGTTAGTCAAGCACAATAAGGTATAACATTTCAGGAAAGTAATGTTATCGCATTGTAAACATTCAGACATACAAACACACACAGTACCAAAGGCTGCCTAGAGATGTTTACTACATACCAAAAGTAAAGACGAAAGCAACTGGTGATTCATCTCCTGTGAAGACCTGCAAAAGAGATACAGTAGCTTTATACCTAATAAAATCAATACAATAGCTTTATACCTAATAAAATCAATACAGTAGCTTTATACCTAATGTTTGGACAATAAATTCAATACAGTAGCTTTATACCTAATGTTTTGCCAGTAAAATCAATACAGTAGCTTTATACCTAATGTTTTGCAAATAAAATCAATACAATAGCTTTATACCTAATGTTTTGCCAGTAAAATCAATACAGTTGCTTTACTGGAACGTTTTGAGGAATCACTGTCTATTTCTTTTTTAAGCACTACTGTTTTTCTCCTTTAAAAATCCATGATCCTACATCTTTGACCATAAAGAGAAACTTTCCTTAACAAATCTAACTCTTGGACTAAGACACGTGTCTGCGCGAAAACTTTGCTGGTATTGTTGATGGTTACTACTAAATAGTACAAAGTTCTCTTCAAAATACTAGAAAATTTAGAAAAACCCGAACAAAACTTTTCTTCTTTGAAGGGTCTTTAAACCAGTTATATACCTAGAAACGAGCACCTGAGTGAAAATAAATAGTCATAATTTATTTTCCTTGTCATTTCAGGCAATTAAGTGACATCTGCCAACCAGGAACTTAATTTTACTTCATCTTGTGCTTCACAGAAGAGGGGAGGTACCTGTCTTCAGCCTAGAATGCTTCATTGCAACATCTTTTGACACAATTTCTAAAAAAAAACCCCACTAACTTGTCAGATTATCGTAGGAGCTTTATTGATTCACAAAGTTAACATTTTCTAGACATTCTCAACTACTGCAAGCCCTTGCACATACTTACAGGTTCATCAACTGGCGCAAGTACAGAAGGTGCACGTTCTGGACCGGTTGAACCTCCTGCTGGTGCACTAGGTGTGACTGTCACGCTTACAACAGGCTCATCAGCATTGTTAGGAGAAAGTTCCACAAGTTTAGGAGCAGTTGGATAATCATCTATTGGTGCAACACGATCATCCTGAGGCAAGTCCTCCATGGGGTATTGACATTCGGTAGGACCTGTTGAAAAAAACCCCCAAACAAACCTGGAAATGAACAATTGTCTCAGAAGCATTATGCTAGCTGGTGCTAGAAGACTGAGGAAATCACAAAGACCCGGCGAACACTATGACAATCTGAAATACTCAGAGTTAGACTTCTAAAATAGTTGCACACAGTCATCAAAAAATTGGTCATATTCAACAAATTATGTTTGAGTTTCAGATAGAGGTACTGGTAATGTGACGACACAGAAGAAAATATGACACAATCAGTTCTTCGCAGTAGAAGACAATAAAGTTATTTTTTGTTCCAACTTATTAATTACAGTTGACATGTTATAGCTTTTTCGGCCTTCAGATTAACAATTCATTTTGAAAAAATGGTATGATCGCATACAAATTGTCTTTCAGAAACATAAAATAAGTTCTAATGCAACACGTTTTTTTTTTT